CATGGTATGAGCAGCTTTCCTCTGCCCAGACCCTTCCACCATGCCACCAACCATGTGAGGACAGAAACTACTAAAACGTTAGCCAAGGGCTGGGGATTTAGCTCAGTGGTGCCACTGCCTGCCTCGAAAACGCAAGGTCCCAAGTTCGATCCCCAGGACCAAAAAAACAAAAACCAAAAAGAAAGAAACAAACAAAATTTAGCTGAAATATCCCCCTCCTCCTTTAAATTGCAGGTGTTGGGTATTTTTCCCAGTGACAAGTAACCAAGACACTAACAGTGTAAATTTATTTTTGAAAATTTAAATACTCTTGAAATCATTCAATAAAAAGAAAGTTAACTCAATCTTAGTGTTCAGTGTTCACTTTGTTTCCAGTGCAAAGAACTGACGTCATGTTTCGTGCATTATATAGCAAATTGCAAGATGTTTCTCAACAGCTATGGGCAGTTGTGTAGAATAGTCTTTGTAATTCTTGGTGCTGGGAATTGATCCCAGGGTTTCGAGCCTGCTAAGCACATGCTCACCACTGAACCATATCCCCATCCTGGCCATGCCTCGAGAACCTTCAAAACAACAAAATAGGAGCATGAAGAGAAGGAAGAAAATGGACCTTCAGCCCTCTAGGAAATCATAGTCCAATGTTCAAGAACGCATCACATTCCCAGTATCTAGGAGGAAAGAATGACAGTTCAGTTTCTCTTCTACCCAAGTCTTTGAGCCATTCTCATCTTTTCCCTAACCCCGAGCAATGTCCATAGTTGACTTTGTCCCTGCCCCAAGTCACCAGCCATTCTGCATTGGAGGTCAGGTCTTTTGTTTTGAGGACATAGAACAGTAGGTGTGGAGTTGTGTCCCCTAGGCCTGAACAGCATTCGTCAGAGTGAGGCCTGGGATCATTGGTGGCACAGGCTGAGGCTCAGGCCTGAGCCCCACTTGCCAGGGTCTAAGAGCTTACCCTTGGGTCTGGAATTTGTTTTTTTACAAATGTATTACTTCAGGTCCAGGCAATCACTGAAATCTTAGCCTTTTAGAATTGTTTGGTAAAAGGTGAGAGTGGAGGAGAATTATGGTACAATTTGTATTATAAAATTTTGGTTTTAATTTAAATTTTGTAGGGCTGGGAATTTAGCTCAGTGGTTCTGGTGCCTGCCTCGAAAGCGCAAGGTCCTGAGTTCGATCCCTGGCACAAAAAATTTAAATAAATAAATAAATAAATTTTGCAGTTCTGGGAATTGGACCCCTGGCCTTCACATAGAGCTACATCCCAGCCCATTTTATTTTATTTTACTTTTTGTGTTCTTTGTTTTGTTTTGTTTTGTTTTTTGAGACAAGGTCTCGCTTTGTAGTCTAGGCTGGCCTTGAACTCACTTTGTGGCCCAGGCTGGCCTCAGATTCACAGCTCTCCTCCTGCCTCAGTTTCCCAAGTGCTGGGATTACAGGTGTGCACCACCATGCCTGGCTCCCTTTTTTTTTTTTTTTCATTTTATTTTTTGAGACCAGGTCTTGCTGAGTTACTAAATTGCTTCAGCTTGGCTTGAATTTGTGATTCTCTTGCCTTAGCTTTTCAGAGTGCTGGGATAATAGGCATGCACTACCACACCTGGATTTTTTGATTGATTGACTGATTGATTGATTGTGGTACTGATTGAACCCAAGGCCTTTGCACTGGGTCACATCCTCAACCCTTTAAAATTTTTAAATGCTAAGACAGAGTTTCACTAAGTCCATAAGTTGCCCAGCATGGGCTCAAACTTTTTTTTTTTTTTTTTTTTGGTGCCTGGGATTGAACTCAGGACCTTGTGCTTGCCACCAAGCTACATCCCTGGCCCTAGGGCTCAAACTTTTGATCCTCTTGCCTCAGTCTCCCAGAGTGCTGGGATTGCAAGCATGCACCCCTCTACCTGATTTGTTTGACAAGAATTTAAGAATAGTTTTAAAAACAGAAAATGAAGTAAGTTTGGTTGCACATGTCAGAAATCCCCAAATGACAATTGCTTAAACAGGAGAGAAAAGTCAGGCTGGAGGTGTAGCTCAGTGGCCGGGGAAAGAGCCTGCATTCAATCCCAGAGACTGTAAGGACCAGGCCCTGCACGGGAAGCTGGGGGATCTTAGAAAAAAAAAACTCATTAATTTGCATTATGATTTCCTCGAAATTCAGGATCTTTAGGGAGTAGTTGCAACATTCTTTAGTACGGAGTGGGCTATGTCCTATATTGCCTGAAGAGATTCATTCTTTGTCCAAACTCCTAGTTCACTGGCTAGTCTTAATTTTTAAAATTTTTTCTTTATTTTTGGTACTGGGGATCAAACTCAGGACCTTGCACTTTTGAGACAGGCACAGTGCCACTGAGCTACATCCTGGCCCTGTCTAGATTTAATTTTTATCAGTATGGCTAGTCACCCAACTCTCTCAGGTCCTTCCACTAACTAGCTGCCTTCCCTGTAAGCTAAATAAACTATTTTCTACACCAGCACTATAAGAAAAAAAATTACATAAAATAGTAATGAGTTCATTACCTGTTAGAAATAACATGTTTTTAACCTTCCAATAGCTTTGCCTTTGTACTCTTTTTTTTTTTCTTTTGGTACCGGGGATTGAACTCAGGACCTTGCGCTTTCAAGGCAGGCGCCGGAACCACTGAGCTAAATCTCCAGCCCTCTACTCTCATACTTCCAATGCTTTATACAGGTGGTGGTGAAGCTATGGCACTCATGCCACGGCGGGCTGTTTGTGTCATTGAGAACTCTAAAAGGTTTGCCATCACTGTTTTACACTATACTTTATACTTCACATTCTTTTGAGATTGAATTCTCTGTAATTCCTCAGATCTCTGGGTTCTCTGTTACTAGAACGGTGTTGTACAATATGGTACTTGAAATGTGGCAGGACTCACTTGAGGTATGTTGTACAAATAAACTACACAGTAGATCTTAAAGATTTACAGGTGTGGTGGACAGACTGAGAAATGGCTCGCAATAATTTCTGTGTCTGGTATTCACATCCTTGTGGAATCTTCTCCCTTTTAAGTATGGCCTGGCTGTGTTTTGCTTCTAGCTAACAAAATATGACAGAGCCAATGGGGTGTCACCTCCATAACTGCATCAGTTAAATTGTGACCTGATGTTGCTCATAGACTCCCTCTGTTGACTTTCTCCCTTCCTTACTTGATGAAATAACTGAAAAGGTCAGCAGAACAAAGAATTCGAGAGTGGCTTCTAGCCAAAAGCCAGCAGTAAGACTCTAATAACCCGCAAGAAATGAGCTGTGCCAGCAGCCACAAGAACTTGGAAACGATCCTTCCCTAGACAAACCTGGAGGAGACCCCTTTCTGGCTGACACTTCCATTGCCCCTCCCAAGACAGCCTGGTGCACAGAGCGCAGTGAAGCTGTTCTTGGATTCCTGACCCTGAGACACAAGGCAGTGTGTATTCTTTTAAGCCACTGAGTTCATAGTAATATATTATGCTGCACTAGATTACCAAGGCAGTACACTAGTCATTCATTTTCTCTTGCTAATAACACAATACCACGGACTGGGTGAATCTGAAGGAAAAGGGGTCTGTTTTTTCTTTTTTTCTTTTTGTTTTTTTGAGACAAGTTCTCTTTATGTAGTTCAAGCTGTCCATGAACTCACTGTGTAGCTCAGGCTGGCCTTGAACTCATGGTGATCCTCCTGCCTCAGCCTCCCTAGTGCTGAGATTACAGGCGTGCACCACCATGCCCAGCCCAAAGAGGTCTAGTTTGGCTCACAGTTCTAGAGGTCCAAGGTCAAGGGGCCTCTATCTGGCAATGACCTTGGGCCTGGCAGACTCTCAAAGTGATGCAGAGCATCACATGGTAAGAGACAGGACCACAGCTGTGTACATGTGTTGCTTTTGGTCTCTCTCCACCTTTTTTATGTGGTGCTGGGGATTGAATCTATAGTCTTTTGCATGCTAACCAAGTGCTCTACATGAAGCAATACCCCAGACCTTTTTATTTTTAAAAATTTTATTTTGAGACAGGATCTTCCCTTGCTCAGGATAGCCTCAAACTTTTGATTCTCCTGCCTCAGCCTCTTAAGTAGCTTTGATTACAGATTTGTTTCACTGTACACAGCTTCTCCCCCACCTACCTTCTTTTTTGTGGCACTGGGGATTGAACCCAGAGCCTTCCCACTGAGCTGTCTGAGCTATATCCCCACCCTTTTCTTTTTTTTTTAAATTTTGAAACAAAGTTTCACTAAGTCACTCAATTGCCCTGGTTGTGCTTGAATTTGCAATTTGTCTGTCTCAGCCTCCCAGAGTGCAGGATTACAGGCTTACACCACCTTACCTGGAGTTTATCTAATTTTAATCACCTCCCAGAGTCCCCCCATCACTAAACACTGTAGTCCGATTAACTTTTTGCCTCTTAGTACCTCACAATGGGGGTTACATTTCTTTTTTTTTTTTTTTTTTTTTGGTACCGGGAATCAAACTCGGGTCCTTGTGCTTGCGAGGCAGGCAGCAGAACCACTGAACTAAATCCCCGGCCAAGGTTTCTACTTTTCTTTTTGGTACCAGGCATCGAACTCTGGACCTTGTTGTTGTGAGGCAGGCACAGTGCCACTGAGCTAAATCCCTGGCCCGGGGATTACATTTCAATGTATGAAGCCTTGGGGGACATACTCAGACTATATCCAAACCATAGCAAGTACTGTCAAAAAAGGATGCAGAATAGCTAGTTAATAATTGATGAATATCAGTGACATCTTGAAATGATAATATTTTGGGTAAATTGGGTTTCTTAATCTGTTTCTGTTGCTACAACAAAATATCCAAGGCTGAGTGCTTTATAAACAAAAGAGGTTTATTTAGCTTCCAGTTCTGTAGGGTTAAAAGCCTGGTGCTTCTGCTCAGCCCTAGGGAGGGCCTTGTAGCTGTGGCATCACAGTGGGGAGGGCCCATGGTGAGATAGGAAACAGGAGAGGAGCCAAGGACGCCAAAGTCACTTTATAACAACCTGTTGTTTTTTGCAGTGCTGGGATGGAACCCAGGGCCTCACCATTCCCAGCCCTCAGTAACCTGTTGCTGTAAGAGCTAAACTACTCCCCGAGATCAGGCCAGTGCCCTGGGAGCTGACTGTCTTCCTGGGGCTCCACCGTCTCTACACTGCCACTCTGGGACCGAGATTCCAGCACATAGGAGGACACGCCATACCCACACATAGCATCAGGTTAAATATGTCATCGAAACCAACTGGATCTATTTCATTTTACTTTTTTATGTGGCCACCAGGAAATTAAAAACCAGTGATCGTGTGTGTATGGAGGACAGCACTGGTGAAGAAGTCCAAGGAGACACGAATTCCCTGTGGTGGCCAGCAGTTGGCTGTCCCATGGCAGCACGCCCTCTGGCTTCTTGAGGCCCCTCCCAAAACAGAAGACAGCCGAGGAGAAGCTCGCCACCCTTTTGGAAGAGGAACGAGGCTGTTGTCTCATTTTTGCCCACAGGTGGAATCTGCTTAGTCTTACTTTTGGATGCTGCCTTTAGGGTTTAATTTGTTTCAAATTAACACCAGGTGGCAAATGCAATTAAAGGGGAAAGTCACAAATTTAGCATGGTATTTTGAACTTCCTTATTTATGGTGGCAGTTAAACATTCAGGGAATTAATGCTAATTATTTTGAATTATTTGTTTATGCATTGTGTTGGTGTTTGCCTTGTACTAATTAATGCTCCACAACTTATGCTACATCCTCTGTGACTAATTAATCAAGCCAAAATGCCAGACTAGTGATCCTGAAGTGAAGGAGGCACTTTCAAAAGATTCTCTCAGGGGCGACCCATCGCTTCCCCCAGGTGTGTGGCCCACCCTGCCCTGGAATTGCTGCTGTCCAGAGTCACTGTTGCTAAACCTTCCAGTGCCTTAGGACAGAACAAGTGGTGATAATGACAGAGACATTTGGGTGCTCTGGGCTACATAGTGAACTCAAGGACAGCCTGAACTACATGGTGAGACCCTGTTTTTAAAAAAAAAGAAGTATTTGTAAAAATATATTTGGACTGGGGCAACCCATTCAGGACTCCTCCTGTCTCTCAGGAGCTACTCCTGTTTTCCACTAAATTTTCCTACTCTTAAATATATATATTTGGACTGGGATGGGGGTGTAGCTCAATGGTTGAGCACATGCTTAGCATACATGAGGCCCTGGGTTTGGTTTCCAGCACCAAAGGGGGAAAAAAAAATTCCCACACAAACCCCTCAAAATTTGTTCCTCTCTTTAGAGGAGGGCTTGAGAAGTTCAGGGAAAAATGAGGAAGAGCAGCAGCACTACTGAATATCTCTATTTTTAAGCAATTTAGCAAAATAAAAATGACAACAAAACAAGTTAACATGGTTTGATATGACTTCAAGTACTTCCTCAAGTATTTATTAAATATTCTTTCAGACCACATACAGAATTCTTCAGAGAGGAAGATTTTTAATTTTTTTTTTTGGCCCAGGCAAAGTGGATTTATTAGAGAAAGCCAGGATTCTGTAGGATTTAAGAGCTGGCATGGGGCCCTTCTTTTTGCCACAGGTGGGTACACTGTTGACAAAGAGCTGGCTGTAGTGCATCCACTGCTTGGCCGGGCCTGTCTCCTCCTGTTTGGCCACCTTGGGAGTTTGACCTCTTACTTTTCCAGCCTGGGCTAGGGAGTCATGGACTTTACCTCCAAGCATTCGGCCACCTACTTCCAGAGTGGCCAGGGCTTCCACCCTACACTGGCCAAGGGTGGCCTCATCCTCCAGCAGCCTGCCTGCCAGGAGCATGACTTGATGGAAGGTTTCTAAATTTAAAAAGAAATTTCACTGTGTAGCCCAGGCTGGCCTCAAACTCAGGGCGATTGCCCTGCCTCAGCCTCCTGAGTGCTGGGATTCCACGTATGTGCCCCTGCGCCAGGCTCCCATAAACATCTTCAGACTCTCCTGGGAAGTACTATAAACTCTGTTTTGCAGCCTGACTATACTGATTTGCTTCTACATCCTTTAGATAATTAGGCTGTACTTGATCTAACCAAGAAATGTCTGAGTCTAGTCTGCTTACCCTGAGCTCACTTTAAATTTTTTGCAACATTTAGTGTATCTTCCTTGCCCTGCCCCTTGAGGAGGTGGGGATGAAGTCTAGGGTCTTGCTCTAGGCAGGCATGCTACCCAGCACCTTCCTGTATCTTTATTGCTTCACTTGCTAATAACAGGGACATCTTGTGTTCCCAGTTGTGAATCCACTTGTTCCATAACAATGGAGACTTCAGTGTTTTTTGTTTTTTTTTTGAGACAAGGTCTCATTTTGCAGCCCAGATTTCCTTCTCCTGTGAAGTTAGAAAATATATTTTTCACTGTAATTCTCACATTTGGCCAAGGTTTGTGTTAGGCAATCTAACACACTGCAACTGTGAGTATCCATTTCTGGAGGACAATTTAGTATTTTGTTTCCAGACATAGAGTTCTACTTTTAGGAATGTATCATAAGTAACCAGAAATGGCTGGGTTTGGTGGTACAGACCTATAATCCCAGATAGTTGGGAAGCTGAGGCAGGAGGATTGCAAATTTGAGGTATCCTGGGCAACTTAGTGAGATCCTGTCTCAAAATAAACTAAAAAGGGCTGGAGATGTAGTGCAGTGGTAGAGCACTTGCCTAGTAGGCACAGGCCCCTGTATTCATCCTCAGTATTGCAAAAAATAAAATAAAAAAACGAGCCAGGCATGGTGGTACATGCCTATAGTCCCAGCACTCTGGAAGGCTGAGGCATGAAGGTTGTCATTTATAGACTTAGTGAGACCTTGTCTCAAAATTTAAAAAGTTTAAAAAGGGTTGGGGAGGGAGCTCAGTACAAAGGCCCTACGTATAAGCCCCAGTACCAAAAACAAACAAAACAACCGGAAATGAAAACTGTTTGAAGGATGTTTGCTATGAGGTTAGTTATGTAGGAACAGATGTCTAATTAGAAGAATATTATACATTATAATATGATTATTAAAATATTTTTGAAAGAAACACCTAATGACTACCATACAGTGTGAGGAAAACTTTGGCCTGAGAGAATTTGGCTAAAATGCTATTGCTACTGCTTCTCACCTAGGCCCCTTCTCTAAGGGGTGCACGGAAGTTCTGGGGAGTGGGAACACACAGGAAAAGGCAGAGCAGGAAAAATAAGCACCCCTTCTCAAAAAGCAGGCAGGCTGCAGTTTTGCCCGCAGTGTCCTCCTGGGCCTAAGCCATTACAGGAATTGCTACTGCTGACCTGGAAGCTGTGCTGCCCCTGAATCCAAAGCATCCCTTCAATACATGGAGCAATAAATGCCACCTGCTGCAGCAGTTTACTGGCAGGACCTGGCTGGATTTGGATTACACAGAATTCCCAGCTGTCAAACTGCACAGGTTGCCCCAGTTATTTCATTAACCTCATGGGAATGTGATCATAGTTTTGTGACTGAATTTTTTTTTACTGTTTTCTATAAGTGAAAAAAAGCAATATAAAAAATTTCATGTACATTGGCTTCTAATTCAGCAAATAAATAAACAAGCTCTAAGTAGATATGTGTACACACTTGCGCGCAGACACACAATTTTTTCAGTGCTGGGGATTGAATCTAAGGCTTTGAGCTAAGATAATAAAAAATGTATTATTAGTGGGCACCTCTGATTAGTGGGCTGTGAGTGACTGTAATATTCTTGATTATACCTTTCTACATTTTCCAACTTGTTCTATATTGGACATAAAATACCTTATCTGAAAAAGAAAAATATGTAAAATAATACTGAGAAAACCTTTGTTTAAAAAAAAGAAGGAAAGGTTTATTTCAGCTCATGGAAAACTTTTTCTATTTTTAAACTCAGAGGTCTGCATACAAATATGAGGCTTTCAACAGAGAAGTACTTCCCCAGCCTAACTAATTAAATTCACCTGGCCCTATCTAATGGGACTGCAACAGCATGCTTCTTCCTCAGAGTGACATCTCTTTTTTTTTTTGGTACGGAGGATCAAACTCGGGTCCTTGCGCTTGCAAGGGAGGCGCCGGAACCACTGAGCTAAATCCCCAGCAACATCTTAAAACTGTATCAGTCAACTTGTAAGTCAGCATCTGCTTTGGATATTGTGGAGTAGAATCCTGCACGAACTGTGTTCAGATTCAGAGAGGATTTCACTCAGTCTGAAAATGTGGGCCCTGTTTCAGGCTCAATATAACATTCCATTAAATGCACTGTTGTTCTTTTCTTGTCAGTCCTGCATGTTTCCGGTGCATAATGATTACTTTCATTGTGGAGAGTTGGTAGCTGGACATAACTCATCTTCATTCTTTGTTATAAAAATATTTTATTCAACTTTGCAGGACACTGAATATTTTACTGATCTCTCACTGCATAAGGGTCCCACCTGCCTGAGAACTAATAGGAAGTGAAAGTTCAAAGAGGGGCTTGGAGGGTGTAGGGCTCCTGTTAACAGGCAAGGGTTTCACACTGAGCACCTGAACTAAAAATTCAAAACTTTAAAAACCCTGAGAAAATAAAGGGACATAGAAGCAAGACTAAAAAATTATGTATTTCCAAGCAGAGGGTCATAAAATTTAGGGCTGGCTTGCAAATGGCAAATGATGTAGTAATTTTGTGTGTGTGTGTGGAAGTACTGGGAATTGAACCCAAGGTTTTTGCAGTGACCTGCATCCCCAGTCCTTTTTTTTAATTTTAAATTTCTTTTTCTGAGACAGTGTCTCACTATGTAGCCCAGGTTAGCCTTGAACTTGTGGTGATCCTCCTGCCTCAGCCCCCCAAGTGCTGTGATTACAGGTGTGCACCACCACGCCTGGCTTTATTTTTAAATTTTGAGACAGTGTCTCGTTAAGCCAATAGGTTGCCCAGGCTGGGCTCAAACTTTCAATCTTCCTGCTTCAGGATGCTGGGATTATAGGCATGTGCCACCAGATTTGCTGATGGAGCATTTTTGTGATCTTGTCACAGAGAAGCTAGGTCCTAAAGTAACAAGGAACCTGACCCTCACTTCCTTGGTCCTCAATTCTTTGTGCCCTTGATGAAAGAATTCAGTCAAGACAGATAGGCTGTGCAGAAGTATAGGCAGGATTTACTGTAACGTTGATAGAGAGCGAGTTACCGCAGTGCCATGCGGCATCTTTGGATAGCTTTGGGGCACACAAAAGTTACTCCTGGAGTTCAAGGAACTATGGTGATTATCATGCTTATCAATATTTAACTTAGAAGGACTTTGGAATTGGAAAATGTTTTCCTGTTCTTTTTAGATAGTCAGTGTTTCTTCAGAGGCTTTAATCACACAAGAAATTTATAATAAGTCCTTAACTTAAACCAGGTCTCAGCCCAGGGCAGGAGGATCTTTAAAGAACAGCTCTCTTTCTGATATCCTTGGGCTGTAGTCCATGGTTGCCAGAATGCCATATGCCTTGTTGTGGAACTAGACAGCCGGATGGCCAGGTATCAGAAGGACCAGGCACAGTGTGTGGTCTTAAAATATCATTGTGCTGGTGGGATTGCCTGAGACCTAACTAATGGTTATAAATGCATGATATTTCTTTATTTAACCTGCAATATGTTCTATTTTG